TTATCGTCTTCTGATGATGATGAAGAGGAAGAATAAACTTATTAATTTATTTGAGGCAATATGTAATGATATATTATTGAAATATTAATCTAATTTGGTGTGTATTTTTCATCAAACAAATTATATTTAGCTACTAATTAAATTTTGTTGATAAAAAAAAACACTAACTAAAATCCATCTAAACCCAAATTTTTTAATTAGCCCACCTAAGCCCAATAGCTTACAATTAAGAACCTAAGCCCAATATTTTAATGAAACCCTAATCTCCTCTAACTCTCTCGATATCTCCTAATCGCACTCTGCCTCCTCACTAACTCTCTCGATATCTCACTCTCATCACACGGTGATTTTCAGAACCTACTGTCGATCTATCTCCAGAGATGAGTGGGAAGAGGAAGCGCCATGCTGTGGCACCGAATTCATCGATCAATAGAACACCAAGACCATTACCGCCCAAGTACGATTTTGTCTCTAAGGCGATGGCGTCGAATCCTCCACCGGTGGTTCTCCCCAACAACAATCCAGCACCGACGGTTAGGGATTATCCACCTCCGAGACAACTATTTCCATCCTCCACGTTCCCACCTTCTGGATTTGCTCCGATGCCTCAAACTCAGCCTCAAACTCGAGTACCTCTTTCTTCTAGCGGTGAAGATACTTCAAATTCTCAACCTCGGCGGAGACAGTCTTCATCTCCTCCACTCAAAGAATCTCCACCGTTTCATGGAGCTCCATCGCCTCACAGTTCTCAAGCTCAAAACAGTCATGAAGACCCGGAAGAATTTTCTGATTTCGAAGCTCCAGTTGAACCTAATCTCTCTGAGGACGTGATGGATGTAATAAACTGGATGCTAGCCCAACCAGGCCGAGAGGAGGTGACAACGGTCCTCACTCCCAAACTCGAGTCTGGTACAACTTGGTATGGTTTCTCTGATTTTGTGTTTCTTTTTTTTCTGTCCGTTGTTGAATTTTGTTTGAGTTTGTGTTTTGGTATACTAGTGTCTTATCTCTGCCTGTTTGAGTTAATGGATTATTAGGTGTCGTGAACTTTTGGGATATACATTGTGTTCGAAATGAGTTTGCTATTCGTTTGTTCTATTTCTCAGAAACACTCTTTGATGTTTACTGTCTTTATCGAACAACAATATAATGATTAAGATTGTTACTTTTCTATTTGTTTTGAGTTTGCTATTCGTTTGTTCTATTTGTTTTGTTATTTTTCAAATTAATATTTCTCAATTATTTCAATGCCATTATTTAGTTTTTAAATTATATATATAAACATGATAATATTTGAAATAAGAAAGTGAAGGGTTGACCCGCAAGTTGAGTTTTGGTTTTGTTTGAGTTTCTCTGGTTTTTTTCTGATTGGTTTTGTTTGAGTTTCTCTGGTTTTTTCCTCTTGTGTTGTAGGTTTGGTTATGACAACTCCAGCTTGACCCGTAAGATAACCAAGATTTTCACCAAGAAGTTTAATAAGCCATTCTATAGCTGGTCATGTGTGCCTAGAGACAGACAAGAAGGGTACTTCCTTGAATTTGCGGTAACCTTCTCTGTTTATAGTTATTTCTGTTGTGATAATTTTTATTAATACATAGCTTATTTTGTTAGTTACATTTTGTTTATAGTTATTTATGTCCATTACATTTTGTTTATAGTTATTTAGTTTGACATGCGGTTTATATAGTTCTTTCTTTTGTGATGATAGCACATATTTTCTTTGTTGTTTTGTAGAAAACACACACATGGAATCCCATGTTAACCGGTCTTGTTCAAGAACACTTTGAATCCATTTGTCAACTTCGAATGAAAGGTATGGTCAGTGGTGTAAGGACCTCTCGAGAGCAACCAAATTGGATATGGGATACACTCTGGAAAGAGATGACTGATTTTTGGGACACTGAGGCAGCAGTGGCAAAGAGCCGCAAAGCATCAAAAGCTCGAAGGTCTGGACGTAATGGTCTTGATATGTACAAGAATAACACAGGGCAGAAGTCCTATATGCAAATCGAACAGGAGCTGGTGAGTCTCATTTTCTTTGTCTCGTTTTTTCTAACACTTCACTCAGATATGTCTTTCATCCATTCAATTTTAGATAAAAGAGTTGGGAAGACCTGTGAGTTTTGGTGAAGTATTCATCAAGGCTCACACAAAATCAGATGGAACCTATGTCGACTTCAAAGCAAAAAAGGTTGCTGAGGTTTACAAAAAGAAAAAGAAAGAGAAGTTGACTAACCTTGAGAAGGATAACACTGAAATCTCAGATGATGATCATCCAATGCTATCAGTAGAAGAGGACAACGAGTTGTTTATTTAGGTAGTGTTTTTAAATAAAAATTATTTTTCAGTCTTATGTTTTTACATTGAGAGTTTAGATAATGTTTTATAGCTTGGAAATTGATTTTTAGTGACTGTCTCATTATTTTCTTTTTTTGTAGTCAACCTTCTGCAATGATAGAGGAGACCTTTTTGGTCTTGGAAGTTTGAAGAATAAGCTCAAGAGAAAACCAAATGACCCGAGCAGCTCCTCTTCTTTCATTGACATGCAAAAAAAGATTGAAGAAGCTGAACGCAAAATAGAGGAACAAGCAGCCCTTATGGCGAAGAAAGAGGAAGAGCATGCTCATGAACAAGCTGCTAACAAAGCTAAGATGGCTGAGTTCACCCTTATGAATAAGTTTATGTGTTTGACTAACTTGAATTACCTTGCTTTCATTGCCAAAGAAGCATCATATCCAACTCCTCCTGATCAGTAAAAGCTAACTTGTGTTGTAGTAGCTTCTCATAACTTAACTATCTTTTGGTATTTTGAACATAAAACAACTCAAGTGTTGGAGTTGTTTTATGTTCTTATGTATGTTTTTGGTATCTAGGATTCAAAAAAAACTTATTATCTAATTTCAGTTTCTTCATTTAGTATATGTAAAACAACTAATCTCACAAATAGAAACCCAAATGAACCAAAATATATAAATCCCAAATCCCAAATCTGTGTTCGTATTTGTTTTAAAACAGTAGTTCCATAGTCACTAATCAGTCTCTAAATTTGTTGCTAATCAGTTGCAAAATCGTGGGAAATCGGTAATTATTTAGTCACTATTCAGTCGCTAAATTTACCGACTATTTCGCAACTACATATACTTAGTCGCCAAATAGTCACTAAAACAGTCGTTCGTCGGTCGTTAATTTAGCGACTACTTAGCGACTATTGCACGACTGATATTTCCGTCGCTAATCAGTCGCTAAATACCAACCGATCTACGACTAACTTATTTACCGACGAAGACTATAACGACTGCCTAAATCAGTCGCTAATCAGTCACTAATCTTGATTTAGCGACTGATTACCTACTAATCTTGCAGTAGCAAAAACCTGTTTTCTTGTAGTGCCTTCGCATCCGAACTTCTCATCGCCTTGACCATCTCATCCTGATTAATGAACCAAGCCGAACAATCATAGGAACGAGCACGTCAACTTCGGGTCTAGTCGCCCATGGGCGACTAGACTCTTGAGAAATTCTAGTCACCCATGGGCAACTAGACTCTCGACCAAGTCTAGTCTCCCATGGGCGGTTAGATGCGTAAGAACGTTTAGTCACCATGGGTGATTTGACGAGTACAAACGTCTAGTCGGGCGACTACATTCTCAACCAGGTCATGTTGCGCATGAGGGACTAGACCATATTCTCTTTGTCACTCTCTCCTCTGGATCTTAACCAGACTGGTCCTTGTTTCGTCTCGGTTAGAGTTTTGTTGAAGTTTCTGGACCATTTTGCGATAAAAATCACGAAGACTTGTTTTCTCGTAAAAGCTTCGAGTCAATCATATAAAATGCTAATGGTAAGCTTAAACACTAATGTTTTCTCGGCTATACGATTGATTTATTATTTTGCGGAACCAACATCGTGTAACCGTATGAAGGACAATCTCTCCGAAGGAAATCGTTTACAGCGCAAAACAGCCCGAAAGGGTCTAAAGCGCGATAAAGGCCCACCTACGATTTTAGCTGAGGATGATCCTAATTACAATGATGGTTTATTGGATTTTCACAGAAGATAAATGGAAAAAATTAAGATAAATATCAAATCTTAAGATAATTATGGAAAAATTGAGAAGATAAAGAAGATTTCTGTGGAAGGATAAACTCGGATCAGTGGCAGAAAAAGAAAGACGAGTGATCTTTGAAAGCATATATAAGAAAAGCGAAGGAGAGGGGTGCAGACACACATAAATTCTCATAAAAAAATAGTACTTAGAGTAATTTAGGAAATTTTTGTTTCTTGTTACCGAGCTACGAGTCAACTAAGGTGGTTAGAACTAGGGATTTTTACCAACAGCTCTTAGAGCCGATGTTGTTTTACCTATTGTAAACACTCCTATGTAGATTCCGAATAAGATCTTTATTGCTCTGTTTTCCATCTCGATTTATTTTAGTTCCTCTGTGTTTTCATATTTTGATTACTTGACGTTTGGTTTAGCAGAAATTCGGAACCCTAAAGAAAGTTAGAGTTTCTTAGCTTTCCGCTAATTATAGAAATCGACAGTATGAATTTCAGTTTTCAAATATTTTACAACAAATATGATATTCTCTCTATTTCAATTTAGTTATCATTTTAGATTTTCACACATATATTAAGAAAACATTTAGTTTTATATATTTTTAAAATAAAAACACAATTATCTATACAATTAACCACATTTCAACCAATTTTTTTTAAAAATAAAAAATTATATAACATTAATAAATTTTGCTTCGGAACTAAACACAATACTTGTTTCAAACTGAAATTTTTTTTCTACGACGACATGTTAATCGAGTTGAACGAAGAGGGTATTAGCCAAGGAAAAAAGTGGTTTTAATGGCATAACGTCAAATAATGAAGTGTTTGTTTCTTGGATGTCTAGGCTATTGTGGGCCGCCAAGAAAAGCCCACTAATGTCACGAAAGGTATTGAAAGACCTACACATCTCACGCGTATCTTTCAGTTTCAAGAATTATAAAAGATTAAAGACAACCGAGTGGTTCTGTTTTCCAGTACAGATCGAGCGACAAGAAAAGAGGTTCGTGTTCCATTTCCGAACATTAACTTACACCAGTTCTATTAGAGGCCGGGAGCGAGTTTGATTGATGGCTTGGAGGCGCATCATCACCAAGGTTCTCTTTTTTTCGGTGCAATTCCTTTTAAGTGAAAAAGGTTTCGGATTTGGTCAAATCTAAATAATCTTCTTTTTTTTTCTGATGGGTTGTTTAAAGATCTTTATGCAAACCCTAGAGGGCCAAAGAAACTTATCCTCCGTTAACATGTCTTTCGTCCTCTCGATAACACATAATTAATTATTAATTTCCTTTCTTTAGGATGATTGAAATTGCCTCATCTAAGGCTAATTTGTTGATTTGAAAACCTATATCACTTAGCTTGAAATTTGTTACATAAAAACGTGTTAGATTGTAGTGTTGATGCAGATCAAAGAATCAAAATTTCACCTTCCGTGAAGATATTGGCTTCTTGATCTTCCTAGTGTTATATTTGAGCTAGAGCCGCTAAAATTAATTCATTACCATAAACCCTAAAGGGTCAAAAGCTTATATCGCCGTCAAAAATGTTGTTTCTCGTCCTTTGAATAAAATAGTTTTCTAATTTCCTCATTGTAACCTCACCTATGGCTGGCTATTTGGCTTATTTGAATACCTATATCAACTTATTCTGGAATTGACAGTAAAAAATAGTTTACCTTTCTTGAAGCTTTTGGATTTCATGATCAGTCCTGTGTTTCATTTGAGCGTTGGGTCTGATACTTATTACCTATGACAGGTTTCGCATGAACGGGAATTGAGCAGCTTAAGAAGCTTACTTGTTAGAGCTTACACTTCTCTTCCTAGATTAGGAGTTGTTGGAGGTAATCATATGCTGAGAAGTTTTTTTTTTTTTTAATTTGTTTTCTAGAATTCGAGACGCATATTGATGTTAATGGTTTTTCTTTTCTTTTCTGTAGCTGCAGGTGGTGGAGCAGCTTCTTTGCCGAAGTCGAGGTTTCAATCAAGTTATGCTGGTAGCTTTGCTCGCAGAGTGAGAGACAGAGATGAGTTTAATGAGGTTGCACAACTGAGAGAACTTTTCCGTAGAAACGACCCTGAAGCAGTTATCAGAATATTTGAAAGCAGCCCAACGATGCATTCGAATCCATCTGCACTCACCGAATACATTAAGGCATTGGTCAAAGTTGATAGGCTGGATAACAGCGAGCTCGTACGAACCTTACAAAGAGGTGGGTAAGAGGAGAGTGAGAGAGAATTTCTCTCTTTTAAAGTATGAGCTTTTTGGTTAGGGGTTAAGGGTTTTGAATAGGGTTCACTAGCTTTATATGCATTTGCAGCTTGTTGACCATATCCCCTTGTCTTTTTTTGGAAAGGTTTAGTGTGCTTTTTTTTCTAAATACAATTTTGTTCTTTCCCTTTTAGGTATTGTTGGTGCTTCACAGGAGCAAGAGAGTTTTGGAAGTCTCGCAGCATTTAAAAATTTGGGAAAACCAACAAAAGATGGTGTGCTTGGAACTGCTGCTGCACCAATCCACACAATATCCACTGAAAGGAGTAGCTTTAAAGAACAGCTATGGAGTACTTTCCGGACTATTGCAGTTGGCTTCTTACTCATTTCTGGTGTTGGAGCACTTATCGAGGATAGAGGAATTGGCAAAGGTAGTTTTGTTGTTTTAGTTTCAGTGATTCAATAGGTGTTGTCAGGATGATATATCCTTTCTTATGTGTAACGTATCTCAGGACTTGGTCTGCATGAAGAAGTACAACCAAGCATGGACTCGAGCACCAAATTCACTGACGTAAAGGGTGTTGATGAAGCAAAGGCTGAGCTTGAGGAAATTGTGCATTATCTTCGCGACCCCAAGGTAAAATATAAACCATGTGATGTGATGCAACAATATGAACCTTCAAAACCATCTTCAGATATTTATCCTCTGAAATAGATGTCTTAATACTATTTTATCTTGGGTTTTCTATTACAGAGGTTCACTCGTTTGGGAGGAAAGCTTCCTAAGGGTGTGTTGCTTGTTGGTCCTCCTGGGACAGGGAAGACTATGCTTGCAAGGGCTATTGCCGGAGAAGCTGGAGTGCCGTTCTTCTCCTGCAGTGGTAGTGAATTTGAAGAGATGTTTGTTGGGGTTGGAGCCAGAAGAGTCAGAGATCTCTTTGCTGCTGCAAAGAAATGCTCTCCTTGTATTATCTTCATTGATGAGATAGATGCTATTGGAGGAAGTCGCAACCCCAAAGACCAGCAATACATGAAGATGACATTGAACCAGTTGCTCGTTGAGTTGGATGGGTTTAAACAGAATGAAGGGATTATTGTGGTCGCAGCAACAAATTTCCCGGAGTCATTGGATAAGGCCCTGGTTAGACCTGGGAGGTTTGATCGCCATATTGTTGTGCCTAACCCAGACGTGGAAGGTCGTCGCCAGATTTTGGAGTCTCACATGTCAAAGGTAGCTTTAGATTATGCAGTAGGCAGCTCATGTTTTTTCAGACTGTAAGGGACGTGAATGGCTGGTTAACTTTGTTCATCGCGTGTTTTTTCAGGTACTTAAGGCTGAAGATGTGGATTTGATGATCATCGCTAGAGGAACTCCTGGATTTTCTGGTGCTGATTTGGCGAATCTGGTAAACGTCGCTGCTCTGAAAGCTGCAATGGACGGTGCAAAAGATGTGACGATGTCTGATCTTGAGTTTGCCAAAGACAGAATCATGATGGGAAGCGAGAGAAAATCTGCAGTTATCTCTGACGAGTCAAGAAAACTGACTGCTTTCCATGAAGGTGGTCATGCCCTTGTCGCCATCCACACAGACGGTGCTCTCCCTGTCCACAAAGCCACCATAGTACCTCGTGGTATGGCTCTAGGTATGGTCTCTCAACTACCGGATAAAGATGAGACAAGCATTTCTAGGAAACAGATGCTTGCTCGGCTTGATGTTTGTATGGGAGGCCGTGTAGCTGAAGAGTTGATTTTTGGAGAGAGTGAAGTAACTTCAGGTGCTTCTTCTGATCTTGAGCAGGCAACTAAACTCGCTCGAGCCATGGTTACCAAATTCGGTATGAGTAAAGAGGTGGGTCTTGTGGCACATAACTATGATGACAATGGGAAAAGCATGAGCACCGAGACGAGGCTTCTCATTGAGAGAGAAGTCAAACTTCTTTTGGAAAAGGCTTATAACAATGCAAAAACCATCCTCACGGTTTACAATAAAGAGCTTCATGCCCTTGCAAACGCTTTGCTTCAGAACGAAACTCTGTCTGGGAAGCAGATTAAAGAATTGCTCGCTGATCTCAACTCTCCGCAGATTAAAAAGCGTCAAGAAGTAGTTGCACAGCAAAGCCAACCGGTTCCTCCTTCAACTCCAAGCCCTGCATCATCATCATCAGCAGCCGCTGCTGCTGCGGCTGCTGCAGCAGCTGCGGCCACAGCTGCTGCAACTGCTGCAACCAAAGGTAAAGACATGGCTCCTGTAGGCTCTTAGAAATTAAAAGAGCCTCTTGTATTATTTGTGTATGTTGGGGTAATAGAACTGGGAATAAGCTCTTCATTTTGGGAGTTTTCTAGAGTCTGTGGAGTCTAGTGAGAGTTTATGAGCATTAAGGGTATAGGGGTAATTAAGGCAACGAGATTAAGATCTCATTTTCTTAAATGACGTATCTCACACACGGACTCTCGTTGCAAAATGGTCTTTGTATTTTTCCACTCATTTTTGATGTTCTTGGAATCTTGTGGAATGCTTTTTCTTTTCTTTTTTTAAGTTTGGCTCGTACAGTTTCAGGTTACAATATAACTCTAAAGAGCCTGCATTTGCAAGACGTATGCTTCCCCTTATCTCGGGCTTGGTTAAATAGCCAAACTTTGGACCTAATTTAGTTATCTGACAATGATATTGAAATAATGTAGTGTTGACATTTAGGCTGCTTTCTATCCGGTTTTACCCCTTCCATCAACAGGTATCCAGTTACATGCAAAATTAAACGACGTGGTTGCTTTCTGTGGTGAAGTTAAATAATGAAGCTTATAAAGCGCGTGGATAAATAGGATCAACACATATGAACATATACATGGTCTTAATCGAGAAAATGTTTACGTAACGGCGAACATGTAAATAAGAGACTATAATAGTCTATTCACTTTTAAATAGAATAGATGACTACAAATATGGAATAAAATAGATGACTACAAATATGGATTGCTATGACGTATTCCATGAAGTTAATGTGCAATATTGGGTAACAGCTATTCCATATTAAAGAGGAGGTAGCCACGTTCATTGGTGGAGTTAAGAAAAATATTTTTAGTGTGCACCGATAATCATGTGGACTATGTGCGTATAAGTTTCATTATTTAACTGCGGCAAGAACACATGATAAACACAAATCGGAGGAGAACATGTAAATAAGAGACTATAATAGTCCATTCACTTTTAAATGGAATAGATGACTACAAATATGGAATGGAATAGATGAACGCAAATATGGAATGGAATCATATATTGAACTATTTACATGTTCTCAATGTATTTGGGTTTATCAGATTAGGATTAAATGTGTGGTTGGAGAGCTGCTATGACGTATTCCATGAAGTTAATGTGCAATATTGGGTAACAGCTATTCCATATTAAAGAGGAGGAGGTAGCCACGTACATTGGTGGAGTTAAGAAAAATATTTTTACTGTGCACCGATAATCATGTGGACTAAATAAAAACTTCTGTCATTAAAAGATGTATTCCATCTAAGTACCAATATCAGTCATTCTGAAGAAACGCTAAAACACAACGGTGAAGACACTTACGGAGTATCTGGATTTACCAAAGAAAAGGTAAACTTACAGGAATGATTTTGTAATACAAATGGTTTAATGTAAAATTGATTGTTCCGTCATAGAATAGAATATTCTATATAATCTAATGGAATAGATATAGATCAATGGGCCCCCATCCGCATAACTTGATCAAACTGCAACGCACGCAACATAGCAAGGTCCTCATCCTCTAAAGCACCCTTTATCACCTCAAGCCAACGGAGGTTGAAATAGTTGTTCACCCTTTTCTTTCCAATGGGTTCACACCCTGTCTCGAACAATCTAGGTGGAAGGCCTAACTTGTCCATGTCAAACCTAGCATGAACAAAAATAATGGGAAAAGAGTGAAAACAGAAAAGGTAAACAAGTATGTCATGAAACAAAGCATGATGATTTAACCATACTATGTAGGTTATATTCCATTCTATCGTGGATGGAGTAGATTAAAAGAACAATATACTGAAATTTCTCTACCGGTATATATATCAACAGAACCTAAACCCATGCATGAAACAAAGCATGATATTAAACCGTAAATTTGCAGTTGAATTAAATAACGGTATACTATTTAGCAAGTTGATATTAATACATATAGGGACTTCCATTACATATGGATTTGATGTTCTGTATGTCGGATAATAAACCCAAATGGCGTATCATAAATCTTCCATAAACTAAACCGAAACTGTGATAACTAAACCCTAAAACAAAGTATTAACCATAATACATATATCATAATACGCACATAGTACTTAATATCAAAAATTATCAAACTAAATAAGCCATTAAACTAAACCTAAAAACTAATCACGAAACGAAATGGCCTATCATAAAGCTTCCATAAACTAAACAAAAACAGTGATAACTAAACCCTAAAACAAAGTATTAACCCTAATACATATATCACAATACGGCCATAGTACTTAATATCACAAATTATCAAAATAAATAAGCCATTAAACTAAACCTAAACACTAATCACGAAACCATTATGGCCTATCATAAATCTTCCATAAACTAAACCAAAACATTGATAACTAAACCCTAAAACAAAGTATTAACCCTAATACATATATCATAATACGCTCATGGTCCTTAATATAAAAAATTATCAAAATAAGTAGAGAAAAGATTCTTTTCCATTTGGTGACAGTAGAAGTATTTCATTCTATTCATGATTTAACTATGTGTAAGTAGAAGTATTCCATTCTATTCATGAAAGCGAAAGTATCAGTTTTCCATTCCATATTGTATATGGAATGACAAAGGTTCATCACATAGAACAAATTGACAAGTGAACCAAGTACTTTACTAAACCAAAACAGTGATAACTAAACCCTAAAACAAAGTATTAACCCTAATACATATATGATAATATATTTTTGTAGTACAGTCTGTGAAAACCTTTTAGACAGAGATAAGATTCTTTTCCATTTGGTGACAATAGAAGTATTCCATTCTATTCATCTTTAAACTATGTGACAGTAGAAGTATTCTATTCTATTCATGAATAAACTATGTGAAAGTATCAGTTTTCCATTCCATATTATATGGAATGACAAAGGTTCATCACGTAGAACAAATTGGCAAGTGAACCAAGTACTTTACTTCAATTCCATTTTAACCAATCGTTTCACAAGGTAGACGCCAATTTGACTAACAGATCGGAGAATCTAGTAGGCAAATGTTGTAGATTTAAGAAACATAAAACCTTAATTCCCCGTAGAAAGTAGTAATTGAATTGGAAATTAGAGGAGGTAAAGAGAAGAAACCGGAGAAAGTACCTTCACTGAGAAAATCGTAGAAGAATAGAGAATGAGAAGTGAAGTTGAGAACGGAGAGACGGATGACTTCTTCTTGAATGAATAACCGAAGTAGATCCCGAAAATGAGGGAGACGGAGGCGGAAGCGACGGGTTCTGAATAACCGCAGTAGATCCCGAAAATGAGGGAGACGGAGGCAGAAGTGACGGGTCAGTGGAGGTTTCGTTGGCGACGTTGCACTGTCTTCTGAATTAGTGAGCTATGTGAAAAGAAAGGGTGGACGATGGTAAGACATGATTTACGCTTGGTAACCAAGTAAAGTTAATTAAAAAATTTTGTTTTAGCCGGTGAAAGAAGTTGAGCTTGGGGATAAAATAGGAATAATATAGAAAGGAAACGGCGTTATAGCATCTGTTAGGGTTTTTGGCTAGTAGGCCAATTTTGGGTTTTTGTTTGGTTATACAGCCCAATTCCCCTTATCTCTATGTTGTCTGCTTTTGATGTTTTTTTGTTGAAACAAAGAAGTATGCGGCAAGAATTAGCGATGTAAATATAATTTGTTTATCTCTTACTTTTTGGGTGTGTAACTTATCGTTCATCTGAGTCTGAAATTGTGCCCCTTCACTCATCGAAGGGCTCCCTAGCTCAGGTGTTGAATCTGAGTTTCGTACGGTCGACTGACTGTAAAACTAAACTCAATTTGTGGGTTCTTCGAATGCGTTTTATTAATCAGAGTTGATAATAAGAGAAGATTACAGAAAGATTCAAGGAAAGAACAAAGGTCGGAGCTTTATGAAAGTCCGGCCGGATTATAAAGAGGTTTGATCGATGGTAAAACTCTAAATCTTGTCTAAATCTTGCCGTCAGTGTTCTTGTCTCAATTTTCGTATCCTCTTCCCTTTGCCATCTCTCTTCCTTTTATAGCCACGTTCACCCTTGTCCTCTGACACTCGTTCGCCCTAGAGGATTCGGGCCTGGGTATGCATAATGGGCCTTGCGAATTAGAGAGTAATCGATCAAACTGTCACTAACCGGTTTGGTCGATCAACTACCGAGCTGAACCGATTGGTTCTCTTCAAACCGATCGTCTTTCGAACGGGCCTGATTTCCAATCGGGCCGTGAGTGACAAAGGACCAGATTTCTTATTAGATGGACTTTGTAAGGGGGAGGTGCAACTCCTCTCCTGCAGCAATCGCTTGAACCGTCGTTAACCGGCTGGGTCGATCGATCATTTGAAGCTAAACCGACCGGTTCCCCTTCAGACCAACTGTCCTTAGTGTGGGCTTGATTCTCGGCTGGGCTTCGGACGGTAACGGGCCGAGTCTAGTTATTTGATGTGCTTAGTGGAGGGAGATGAAATTCCTCTCCAACAGTAAGTCCCCCCCAGTCCACTGGTGAAGAATGCGATTCTTTGACAGTGGGACTGTAAGGGTTGGTTCGGAAAATAACTGACTCGCTCTGTTCGTAAGTCGATCGAGCACTGTTTATTGCACGACTACCATTCGACTGTGCCATGTGGTTCATGATTCTTCGCTTAATCCTTGACAGACGACCGTTCGTGAGATCAGGTTAATAAGACAAGGGATCCCTTCATAGCGAGGTCGATCGATCGTGGTGTGCGATCGTTCACTTGATGGTTCCCTTGTCTAAACAAGGCATCGAGTCTTCCGATAACAATGTTCAAGGTCAATCGTTCGTCGAAGAAGCTGGTTGGTGAGTGATCACGTTTAGACCGTGAAGTGTGACCATTTGAGGTAGATCGATCACTTGACTAGGCTCTTTTCAAAATAAAGCAAAATGACACAGAGAAATTTGGTCGTTGGTTTTCCTCTGCGTGCGTTTGATGGGCCGGTCGATTGATCTTCGTGGGATTTGATCATGTCGATCGGTCGTCCATCTCACAAACGTGTGAGAAATTTGGTCATTCGTTTGAGGAAACAAGGCAAAAGTTACGCGGAGTAATTTAGTCATCGATCATCCTTCCAATGTTGGAAGGGAGCGTTGTGATGCCATCCTCTTAAGTTAGCATAAAAAAGATTTGGGGGTCGTTCGATTGTCCGTTCGATGATGTAACAATCGTGGTCAGAGTGAGAGTGACGATCGATCGTCTGCCCAATGTTGGGGCGACGATTGCTTCTTGAGTTTGAAAATGATGTCAAATCGTTGTGCGATCAATCGCTTGTTCCAAGGGGTGGATTAAAAAACTATCCTCTTAAGTTATAAAGGAAGTTGGGAGAGTCGATCAATCTCCGCGTGCAGTCATGCTTCAAGACTAGTGTTGAACTGATTCGATCCGAACTGATTTG